GCATTTTTAAAATAAAAAACACACTGCATGTTCAACAATCTTTTCTGCAGTTGCAAGTGAATGAAATATCCTAATTCTAAAATGTTTAAAATCTAATCAAATTGTCAATAAGCCCTATCCTGGGTCAATAAAAGTCTAGCAGCCCCTGTCGGGGGCTAGGTTCGTATGTCATTTAAGTAATAAGTAATAAGATAACTTTCCATGTGCGCCCATTGGGTAGTTCCAGAAAATATCCGTACCATACTACGGGCGGCATTTCGGAAATCCAGAGGGGAGGGGGGGTCATCGATTTGGGAATTCCAAAGGGGAGGGGGGCTGAACGATTTCGGAAATCCAAAGGAGGGGGGAGGGGAATTAAAGACTGTATATTAAGTCTTATAGAAAACGACCTTCGACACCTTTCACCGGGACTTCGTTGATCATGATATAAGACTTGAAAAAATCACTATAAAAACGTTTGAAAACCACGACAAAAACATCTAAAAATACGTAAATTGAAAGCAATGCAGCTTATTTTCGAGTCATTTTAACAAAGTTTAAAGCATCCGCGTAGGTCCGTGATCGGCGATTGTAAACAACATATAGTCAGTGGTTTCTTGACAGAAATATTAATGGTGTCTCGGTCGTCTCGGTCGCAGATCACCATGCGTAGGACTTTCGTTTTTTTTCTTGCGAGTCTCGTTTCTTTGAACACTTGTTAATAGAAACTAATTATATTAGGTAAAAGATAAGTAATTCCAACAGCAATGATTTTTGAGTGTTTTTAAGCACTTCCACAAAGCTAGACGATGCAATGTTTTCGAACGATCTGACAGTTTTAAACGATTGCGTTCTCTTAAACAGTTCTTGTTTTGGAGAGAATAGTTATTCTCATTCAATTCCAAGGGGGGAAATTAATTTCCTAGGGGGGTAAAACACGTTTTTGGAATTCCTAAGGGGAGGGGGGATACCCAATTTCGGAATTTCCTAAGGAGAGGGGGGGTCGAAAATCGATACCGCCCGTCGTATGGTACGGATATTTTCTGGAACCAGCCATTGATAGGTGCATTTTTATGTCTTTATAGAGGTATCTCTTACAACAATATAACCTGGTTCACAAAGCACATACCTTACATACACTGTCAAGTAAAGATTTTGTCAATTGCTCCTCAAAACAACACTTATTGCACAGCTGAGCAATGATCATATATGACGCACACTTGTACTCTGACAAACCAGATTTCAGTCCTTTGATGATGTAAGGCAAGAGTTTCCCGATGACCTCCTCGCCAACACGCTGAATGTTTTCCAATGCTCCTACTACAGTAGAGGCATAGAAAGTAAAAACAACTCTCAATGAAGACACAGGACATTCCATTTCTAAAGAACTAGGGACCATTTCACAAATTTCATGCAAAAAATTCAAGTCAGTGGCACATTTTTGGATGAGTGTTGACTTTGATAATGGGCTGCCTGTGTTTTGCAGAGGTCCAAGCCAGTGCCACTTGGAAGCGGGATTTTTTATCTCYAAGAGTTGTACAACTCTAGCGAACAAGTTCGTCTCGTGGTAGGGAAGAGCACAGTASACRAGAGCGTCTTGATTMATGATATGAATCCTGAATCGACGTATCAACCATTCCAGAGTCTTGTGGGCCGGTTTGAGAAGAAAATATGGAGACAAATATCTCAAAAATTGTGCTATCTGTTTATCTAGCCGATCATTAAACTCTTTCGTCTCCACCGATCGCTCTAACTTCTTTGATACATCACTGAAAATCGACTCGTTGAATGATGCAAATCCAGGCTCGATAAGAATGAGCTCTTGCAGCCCATTTATAGCCAAAGAAAATATGGTTTCATTGTCGATATTGCTCGCTTCTTTTCCATCAAACAATAAAGAAGCCTTTAAAGTTTGTTTCTTCGTCGAAGGAGCGACTAAATTGCTAGGAATTTGAAGTTGCTGAAGTTGCTTTGCTAAAGAAGACATTTTGGATCCCGCACGTGGAGAATGACCCACATGGCGTGGTTACTTAGGTATACTACACAGGGATCCCGGAATGGACAGGAGGCTCGTCATAAAATAGCCCCCATCTTATCTATGATTTTATTTTGTTTCGAGATATTTGTTTAAATAAGTCATGCAAAATTTACATCGTAAAAAATGTCGACTGAAATTGAATAGTTCATTGTTATGGCTTTTGACATGTACTTTTTCAAATACTGTAATATCATACCAAAACAGCGTAGGGTATTTTGAGTAAAATACTCGATTCTGATTGGCTGACGAACTGTGAATCTTTTCTCAATTCGCTTAATTAATACCACATGCGCCGTGCTATTAATTAAATGATATGAATATGCATTACACTATGAGATCCTTCGATTGCACCTTACCTTCATAGATCCAAAAAAACATTAATTAAAACTTGAGGTTTCCAATGAAATCGATTTTACTCTAAGATATAGTTTAGTAAACTACACTCCTAATTGAAGAAACTTTTTCGGGTCCAAAAAGGTCAAATCATAGAAGCTAAGACCGAAAGGGTACTTGGGAAGACAAACAATTTGGCTAATTCCATAACAGCTCTCCAGCATAAAAGACTAGCCGATGCTGTTAATCTTACTATCTCTACTTGATTTACGGTGCACTCTAAATCCCTTTCGGTCTTAGCTTCTATGATGTGACCTTTTCGAACACGACTACGTTTTTTCAATTAGGTGTATGTTTCGAGCCCGGGGAAGGGAGGGGACTCCCTGATATCAAAGGGCGGGGGTCCTCGGTTTTGAAATCAGTATTTTGGTCCCGCTTAGGGTGATCATGACAAGAATTCCTACCAACTGTGTTTTGTGGTCCCTTTTAGGGTATACGGCGACCCTAAGCAGTCATAAAATGGCAACSTCGTCATAAACTCAATACGAGCCGACGGTGTTCGATGATTGTCTAAAACACAAATAAAATCGGTAAAACAAAGCAAAATGACCTGTTATTGATTGGTCCCTTTTAGGGTTGAAATTTCAGCACTGCCACGCCCATCATCTCACAACAGAGGTCCCTTTTAGGGGTCATTTTCATAATCTCCGCCGAGGACCCCCGCCCTTTGATATTAGGGAGCCCCCCGGGGTTTCGAGATGATTTTTGAACTTATATGTGAATAATTTGATACACAACGTGTTTTATTTGGTAGCCAGCCATTTCACACAACGCCAGGTCACGCGCCTGAAAAGCCGTGGAAATCATCTAAAATTCTTCTGAATCATAGTTTTTTGTTTTAAAAGTAAGAGTTACATACCGAGAACGTAGGCAATCAGCCTAATCAGCCTAATCAGCCTAATCAGCTGATTGCCGACGTTCGAGGTATGTAACTGGCTTACTTTATACTTGAAGAAGTTTTCCAAGCACTGCATTAATATTTTCATTTTTAAATACGCAAAGAAGCCGTTTTCATGTGAATTAAAAACCAAACCCTCGATTAGAAAGATTACGAAATTTACAGTATTGAAAATTCCCAACGGGAATAATTTGCATAACCAATTTTCTCGTTAGTCCCATGAGACCAATGCTAACAATACACCTTTTGTAAGAAGTAACTGGACAATGTTAAATAACTGTTTTATTCCATAATTGACATCGATTAGTCAGTTAGCATAACGTGTTAAGTATAGGAKTTTCAAAGCTAAGKTTGYRGGKTCGAATCYACTTGGTGTCATTTGAATTTTTCTTTCTTTCTTTCAAGTTTAAAGTTTCAGACGTAAAATTTCTAAGTTGAACGTAGTAGTTAGTTAGGTATTCAAGGCAATATACATTAGTATTCAAGGCCAATATATAGATATTGCCCTCAAATGGGGGCGATATCTAGATAAGTTTATATCCCTGAAACTTCGCTTATTCCCCAGCTCGTTGTGCATTCAAGTGCTTTATATCGAAGTTTCAGATATATCTAGATACTATTTCCTTTGAACATTGAAGTCGCGATGCAACGGTTTCTGCTGTAATCGCTGAAGACTGCTAGCATAAATTTATTTTTCTTCTCTTAAGAAATCTTGCCTACATTTGAATACCCGATTTGCGAATTTCGCCTCAGTAGTCAAACACAAAAGACTCAATACGAGTCGCCGTGCGTAAAGCTCAGTAAATTGTCTTTTCACGAACGACTGAGCTTTATGCACGCCTTGATTCCTTTGTGTGTGACTACAGAGGCAAAATTCTCAAGTCGGCTATTGCTTTTCGCCTGAGTGTATGATCCTCTCGTGTATTCTGCAGCAACTTTTTTGTTTAAATGTCTTGCTACAGTGCTTGCACTTGAATGGCTTTTCTCCTGAGTCTATCTTATCATGTGTTCTGCAGCTACTGTTTTGTGTAAATGTCTTGCTAGTGCTTGCACTTGAATGGCTTTTATCCTGAGTGTATGATCCTTCCATGCCTTCTGTAGTTACCAAATGTCTTGCTGCAATAACTCTGAATGGCTTTTCTCTCAAGTGTATCCTTTCATGCATTCTGCAGCTACCAAGGTGTGTAAATGCCTTGCTACAATGTTTACACTTGAATGGCTTTTCTCCTGAGTGTATCCTCTCATGTGTTCTGCAGCTACTGTTTTGTGTAAATGTCTTGCTAGTGCTTGCACTTGAATGGCTTTTCTCATGAGTGTATGATCCTATTATACCTTCTGCAGGTACCAAATGTCTTTCTACAATGCTGAATGGATTTTCTGCCAAGTGTTTCTTCCTCTCATGTCTTGTGCAATGACCTCTTTGTGTAAAAGCCTTGCTACAATGTTTACACTTGAAAGGCTTTTCTCCTGA